ACAGGTCAGCCCAAAGTGGAGATGTTTGGCCAAAGACAGAATATCAGCACAAATGCCTCATATAGTAACTGTCTCTCACTGTGGTGGAGGGGTAATTATTTGGACTTGGGCACCCTGCTGTCACTGAGTGGACCATGAATTCCCCTGTATACCAAGTTATTCCACAGTCAGATGTAAGGCAGTCTGCCCGCTAGAGCTGGGCTGAAACTGGATCATGGGAGAGGACAATGAAATCAAGCAAAGCAGCACATCTTCAACACAATGGCTGAAAAAGAAAATAATCGCTGGGCCATTCATACATGACTGAAATCCTGTGGTGGGCCTTTAATAGTCTTTATGCATTACTGTGAAAAACTGTTTGACAATCAAACAGAGAGCCGTGCATGAATGAAAGAAGAGTTGGACAGATTACCTCCAGAATGATGCGAGAGACTGATAGATGATGACTACTTCAGAGTCGTGCAATTAAACAGGGTTACAGGGTTCAATCAAACCAATGGACCAGTGCAGGGTAAAAAGATCTGCACAACATTTACTACATTTATTTTAAAGCTTCAGTTACTATGGCTATTTTCTGATATAGATTTAAAATCTAAAATATATTTGTCCTGCAGCAACTTCAGTACCTGTCTATGGTGTACCCTGCCTGGATGTATGTAAAACATAAATCTTGGTTACTTTTAGATTAAGTAATTCAACTGGCTTTTTTGTTGTTCAGTAAAAATAGACAATATACAAAACATAAATCAGTCCATTATAAACACTTTTATTTTATCTGCCTGGATTATTGTAGAACAAATTAACCAAAACACTATTAATCAACATGAGAATGTAAAGAACTAAAAGCATGACCATTTAACTACCATATTAGCCTCTTTAAATCAACTTCCAATGCTTTAGACTAAATGTTTATAATATATTATCAAAATATAAGGGTCTCTGTGGCCACTATTTAAGAGCCCTATCTTTGATGTCTTAGTACTGTATGCACAGGGGTCTTTTACCCACACCTCTTGCAAGACTTTTTCCTATAGTAGAATATTTTTTGATATTACTATTTTTACTTTAATACATTGTTCTGTACCATGTAGTGTATTTCTAAGGTAAACATATATTGCATGGTTCATTAGTGATGGATTGGGCCTCTCTGGCAGCAATGACACAACCATCCTTCAGTTAATGTTCCTGAAAGAAGCTATAAGTGTTTAAGCTGAGCCTAAACATAAACAAGTTGCCCGTTCCATCTCCGCCAGACCAAAAAGACACGAAGAAAAAAACAGACAAATTGAAGTAATAAAAAAATCCTAAGCAAGTCTTGTTTGCAAAGTGAGTGAGCGCCAGTTAAAATACAGGGAGGAAGGTCATAATCACTGCCTGTCTACGTGCATACACTCACGCTCTGATATAAACTCCCGAGGCCACATTTGCAGGCATTGCTTATTGTTTTATTTCAGGCTGAGACAAACAGAAGGCCGCAGGGTGACTTGGACACCCCGAAATACTCGAGGAATGACATCACCGTGACCTTTGAGTGGTGAAAAGCAGAAAAATATGCTCTCACACTGTAAGCTCAGACGGTAGCGCATACCACCACGCAATCAGACAGCCGCAGTGCGTGATCTCTCTGAATTGGCCCAACAGTGACTTACAACCAGCAAGAATTTGACCCGAAACCACCCAAAAACAAACTGACCATCAGACTGGGGTCCAGTCACTCACTGGCTACTGAGTGTGGGCAGCAAGGATGCATGGGTGTTTCCCTCCTGCTGCTGGAGATCAAGTGGCGGCAGATCTCTGGAATGCCCGTGGCAAGGATGTGGGCACCAGTTCTCAGCTGGGATGCCCTGCCACTGCAGTGGTTCCCAGAGTATCGGGTTCTGGGAAACCCCCCACAGTTCACATAAGAGGACAGCTGGTGCCAGACCTCCAGCCACTCTTCCCTAACCTCCCATCCCTTTGGAGGATGTGTAGGAGGATGTCAGAGAATGCGGCTCTGATACAGAACTTCATTGTCTGCATTCGACCACCACTGACAGGGAAAATACACGATTTGAATAACTGATGAGTCAATCCATAGAAAATGAATCAGGAAGAATTTTCATGACTCGTTTTCCAGCAAAACAGTGAAAGCAACTACACAAATATGCAGTTTCCCCTGCTTTTTCTGTCAATACGAAAGTAACCCAAATATGCAGCAGAGTTTGATTATTAGTGAGGCAAAATGACACATCTGAAAACGACATCTTGGACTCTGGGAACTTGTGGTGGGCTTCTTTTTTATACAAGTCTACCATTTACTAGCCCACAAAAATAAAAAATACAAATCATCGATACTTAATGAAGTATTTGGAACTTGGCTCAGCTTCAGGACTGCCAGGTGACCCATTTTTAAATTCACACATTCAGAACAGCTTAACAAGCAAAATGTCAGTGACCACATGGAAACCAAAAAAAGACCAACAGCTGGAACACACACACACAGAGTTTAGACTCCAGGATGGTCACTTGTTGTAGTGTATACACAAAGTTTGCGTTGATGTGCTTGGCTGTGCGTGGAGCAGCCTGAGAACACGGTGACCCAGCGCACTCCACCAGCTGTGCTCAGTTACATTTGTGGCAGTGAACCTGCATATCCACAATCAGGGAGTCTCCATCTCACACTCGGCCTGACTTCTGTTCCGGGAAGCTCCACAGGTAAAGACAGAAATAACGCCCTGTCGGAGAAACTCACTCACAAGGTAAAACATGTTCCTCCTGAACTCTAACATGTGATGCTTTTGTGTTAGAGTTCAGAAAACTTTGACATGCTTGCTTTTTCTAATCCCCACCTTAAAGTGGAAACATCTGCTTTTACCTGCAGGAAATTGATTACACAAAAAGTGAAACAGCAGTTGTGCACTGTGAGGTCATCCAGGTTTAGAGAACTCGTCTACATGTTGACACCTGTTTGTGTTTCAGATTTTGAACTTCCCCCACCTAGAGACTAAACTGATCTTGTGACACTGACGTTAAAAGTTGTACAAGAGGGATGAGGCGGAAGGATTTTGCAATATTACAGTACGATAACATGTGCCCTGTGACTCACTGCCTCTCTTCCTGTCTAACCCCATATTACAGTCAGAGCCAAGAAGTAAACTACTCAGACACAGTTAGCCACGTTATCTTGGCTCTCATAAGGAGCCAAGTGCAGCTGGGAAAGCAGAGCAGAGAGCAGGGCAGTGGTGCAAGTGTGACGTGTATGGCCTGTACAAGAAAAAGTGGGTAAGAGGTACATCTCACCTCCCTTACTTCTCCCTAAAATGCTCGCAAAACGTAGTAAGTCATCCAGCAAGTCTCTCTTTAACAAACAGCCATTCTTTGATATGTGTAAGAGGCTAAAGAAGCACAGGAAAACTCACAGAGGAATCTTCTGTCTCTCAGTCTCCGTCTGACCAGTGTGTCCCTCCTGCTGGCTGCGGTCGTCCCAGCCGAGTTGGCGTACAGAAGTGGTCCCTTAAACTCCTGCCTGTATGACCCTGAGAGAGAGAGTGAGTGGGGAGACCGACAGCTGGAGCAGCTGAGCACATGGAAAGGGAGGGAGAGAGAGGGAGCGAGCAAGACAGGCAGAGGCGAGAGAGAGAGAGAAAGGGAGGAGAGGAACAGCCCCCTTACCCCCCCTCTGGCCCCCTGCACTGCCATCCTCCACTCCCCAAACCCCCTCTCCCTGACCCCCCAGGATGCAAATTCCTGGTCTGCGGCCCAAATACCGAAATTCCAAACCCGTCCAAATCGCAGGCACAACTCACAGATTCACACACGCACATGCCCCCACATCTTTTCACCCTCTCACTGGTCCCACAACACACCTGGTTTCATTTAAACCAAACCCCCGCAAAATCCCGAAGCTCTCCCACCCATTCTTCCCTCCCTTTTCCCATTTACCCCCCATCTATCTATACTTACCTCCCCCATCTCTCACTCCCCTTTTTTCTTTTCCATAAAGCCACTAAAGCCCTCGCTCTCGTCCAATCTGACATGCAGGGATATTTATAGCCAGAGAGAGAGGGAAGTTAATGGAATGTGGACAAAAATTAGAGAGTGGAAGAGAGCGACAGTCTGTGTGTGTGTGTGTGTGTGTGTGTGTGTGTGTGTGTGTGTGTGTGTGTGTGTGTGTACGTGTTTGGAAAATTTTTATTTTACAGAATAAATCAGCGGTGCTTTCTGGGACAAAAGACAAAAAAATAAAGAAGTATCATGAGTCTTGACCCACGCACCAACTTTTGCTCTTCTCGTGTTTGTGCGTGACTAATGCGTTACTGCGCTTGGAATCATTTCCAGCAGCATGTTGTCTTGCAAAATTTGTAGTCTGTCATGATGCAAACGGGTTAAGATGTTGCTTAACTCACATTAATCCTCATTAGTTTCAGTCTCATTCAACTCTAATGGACACAAATTCAGACTATCCTCAAATTGGGATCAACAGCAGCGGCAGCGCTAGTCTTAATTTTCCTTAAAAATATCTCATCACTTGCAAAATAGCTCCCTGCATTTTATTTTTAGATGGGAGGCGGTTTCTCCAGCTACCCTCCAGTGTTTGGTTTAAAAACCTTCACTCGGCCTCAGCTTATTTGTCTGCCTTTTGTTTTTGTCGGGTGGCAGAGATGGCAGCTGTCACTACAGGGGATGTTGTTAAAAATCACAGTCCCAGCTGGACTAACTGTGCCCCCACCCCTCATCCAGTTGGTCCCTATTCCCATAAACACACAGAGACACCCCACACACTGACTGGAGTCACAGCCTGTCGTGCATGTGATCCGCTGGTCCTCTTAAAGTGAATTAGTGAATAAAATGCTAATTCAGTTGGAGTCAATATCAAATTCGCTGTTTTCACTTCTTAAGTATGGTTCACCCAACCCCCAATCCCCAACCCCCGGTGAAAGATCCTGGGGGGGTTTAATCACAACATCTCTTCCTTCCAGAATAAACATGAAACATTACATAGGAAATAAAACAGAAGGGCATTTTTAATGTAAAATCTTAATTTTATTTACAAACCAAATTTACAGACAACGTTGGGGGACGCTAGGAGCAAAGCAGGCAGACAAACATACAGCGATGACGGAAGAAGCAGAGAAAGCACATCCGAAGGAGCGAAGTAACGCCATAGCAAACTGAAAGGAGACGTGAACCGCTAGGAGAACTCTTCAGTCGTGATACATTTTGAAGATGCAGCTTTTGACGACGCCCATGTATCTGTCCCACACAACTTGATGTCTGAGGGCAGAAAAGAGAAAGAAAACGAGAGCAAACGGTGAGTAAAAGGAGTGAAAAGAGGTGCTCCAAATTTCATGTCAGACTGTAATTGTGAAATCAGAGTGAAGAGAGTAAATGAGGCAATCTGTGTCCCCCCTGCGTATACTGGTGGGGGAGTGGGGGGTCTATGTTTCTTTTTATGAATATGTCTTTGTTAAGCTTGTAGTGGTTCAGGGCTGTGTAAACCCTTAACTACATTCCTGAGTGTTTGCACGAGAAACAAGGTAACTACAGTTTAAGAAGTCATGAGCAAGATAGGGAGACACCCACTGGCAGAACAAGGGCGTCAATTTTTGGGAGGGTTTTAACATACAGCTTCACGCTTCAGCAGCGTCTAACACCACCATGCATATCCTTATTCGGTTATTTGAAGTTTTCCCCAAAAGCTCTCTATGAAAATCACAGCTCTATTTTTAGCACAGGATACCCCGGGGGAATTGATAACCTGGGTCGGTGCCAGGCTCTGACTGATAAGCTTCGGAGAATAAAAGCACATTAACTCACTTGAATGTGTCGAGTATGTGTGCAGAGTTGGTGTAATGAGTGAGGTAGAGTTTCATGTCCGCAGCTGACCACCGGTCTGAACGGCACGGCTCAATAAACTGTGGGATAAAAGGAGGTGAGAAGGTTACAGCATAAAGCCTCAAAGGCAGACTGATGCTGGGACAGACATTAAAGCATTCAGGCTGGCTGAGCCGTCTTTACTTATATATATATTTATTTATTTATTTTTTAAAGAAAATCTCACCTTCTCTACAAGATCAATAAAGAAATCTCTGACATCTTTTGTGTTGGTCAGCTTTGCAGCTATGTTGATGAGGCCTCTGGAAAGATTCTGCAGAAACAAAATTACATTCGAAACTGTTATTTCCTTTTCACAGTTATTCTCACGGAATATCATAAAGATACTTATCATCTCTCACCTTGAAACTACCCTCCATCTCAATGAAAACTTTCGTCTTTCCTCTCAGGGCTGTGCAGACCAAACTGAGCAGAAATAAGAGAAGAAAGGAAAAGAAAACAGATTAAAAAAATTCAGAAGCTTTTTCAGGAGTCAGCAAAACATGGAAGTGTCTGGAAAGCGTGTTCCTGTTACCTTTTGTGTTGATCGAGCAGATCTTTGTCAGTGATTAAAATCTTCAGCTCTTTCAGTTCTTGCAAAAACTCTTTGTCAAGATCGACATCCATGTCTTCCACCATGTTGTCTACAGGAAAATTCAGACACTGTCAAGTTAGTTTAATGGGAAATTTTTCTAGAAATTATATTTTAAATATTTGTGTTCTTATAACTGCTTGGTTATGAAGTATAATGACTCAGATGCTACCTAATATTATTCCCTCTTTCACTCTCCTAATTGTTAACCTGGGAATTTAAAATTCATCCTCTTACTGATGAAGTAAAGCCTGAAGGACCTCTGGTGGTCAGTAAACCTCACTGACAGAGCCACTGATCTAAACTTTATTTAGTAAACACAATCAACATATAGTTACCGGCTTTGTTAAGGTACACCTTGCTAATAGCAGGTTTGACCAGCTTTTTACCTTCAGAACTGCCTTAATTCTTCATAGGGTCAACAAAGTGCTAAAAACATTCCTCAGGTTTGACATGACAGCATCACACAGTTGCTGTAGATTTGTTACTAGTGAGAAGATGGGTACAGTATCTTCATAAAGGGATGGACATGGTCAGCAATAGTACTCAGGAATGCTGTGGTATTTAAACGATGCTGAGCTGGAGCTAAGGGGCCCAAAAAGTACCAAGAAAATATTCCCACACCATCACACAACCACTACAAGCCAGAACCATTTATGCAAGGCAGGATGGATCTATGCTGGCTTTACCTCATAACATCACAACAGGAGTCGAGACTCTTCAGACCAGGCAACATTTTTCCAACATTCTATTGTTCAATTTTGTTGAGCCTGTGTGAATTTGAGCCTCAATTTCTTAGCTAAAGGGAGAGGTACCCAGTGCGGTCTTCAGCTGCTGTAGCCTATCTCCTTCAAGGTTTGATACTATGTGTGTTTAGAGATACTTTGGTTCTAATCAAGTGGTTATTTGAGTCAAAACTAAGCACTCACCAACAGCCCCAACTGTCCAGTTGCTGATAAGCTGACCGGCACAGAAAGCAAAATCCTGGAAACTGAGGTATTGCAGCTTTCTTTTTCCCGTCTCAAACCGATTGTTGGCAAAGAAAACGATGGCAGCGTAATCCCTGTGATAAAGACAATAAACACACGGCATTTAAAAAAAACACAAAATAAAACCAAGCAATCAGAGCACCCAATCTTTTCATGTGGTGTTTCGTTAGAATTTGTTGCAAAATAACATATTAATTCATCACAACACTACAACATAACAGATTTTAAGTTATACAACTGCTGTAAAACACAAGCCTGAGGCAGAAGGCTTGTGCTCTGTGCCTGTCGCTGATTACCTTGCAAGTTTGTCAGACAGAAGAAAATGCTGACGTATGTTCTCCACCAGGGGTCCCTTCAGCTCTTCGACAACTTTGAAAACACGTTTGAAGTTGTCGAACTGAAATTACACACACAATGCAAGAGATTTACTAATACTGAAAGAATCTGCTCCACAATCAGAAATCCCACCACAACTAATAAAATGTACCCAGAGCTATAAAACCAAATTAATTGTTGAAACCGGCAGACAACAGGAGCTCCGGCATGGTTTGATGTTTGTTTCAACACTCAGCTGTATCCTACCATTCAATAACACACTACCGGAGCTTTAAAATATCAATCTTTACAATGCACAGTGAAGACTTACCTGTCGTCTGCAGCTTTTTAGTGTCACACTTGTCTTGGCACTGATGTCGTCCAAGTCTTTCTTTGTTCCCTTGGAGAGCTTCTTTCCCAGGACCTCACGAACAAATGTATCATCAAAGGCATAGTATCTAAACAAGGAAAGAGACACAAAAAACAAATTGCCATGAGAAGAAACGTAGCATAAAGGAGGAGGTTTGGCAAATAAATACAGGAATAGAGAGTTGTGACTCCTCTGAAATAAATGGGTTAATTAAATTAGAGCGTCATGGCCGCACCTCTCTATGAGCATGATTTGCCGATGAGGAGGGATCTGGAACAGCAGCTGGTTGGCTAGTTTGGCCGGACTGTGCAGCAGGCGCTCACACATCTGGAAAGTCCTGTACTGGTCCATGGTGTCACTCAGCAGGACATCTTTACTTGCCTCACACTCGTCCATCACTCCTCCCTCCATGCGTACCTTCACTGCATCGTTCACTGTTGGATAAATCACACAAGCGCAGTTCAAATGGTTGATGAACCGATGATGCCTGAAGTTAAATGTGATAACATGAATGAACAATCACTGCTGTGCTGTGAATAATCAGCAGCCTGAAACAGCTGCTGCACCATATTTGGGCATTAAACCCTGTATTTCCAATTTCTTTACCATATTTGATTCTTAAAGTTTACTTGTTCCTTAAATTAGTCTTATGATACTTAGAAGCCACACGTGCGTGTGTTTAAACACTGTACCTGACCTGAAATCACCACACCTAACATGTGCTGCTAGGCGCACCCAGTAAACCCCGTTCCAAAGAGAGAACACCTACTCCTATGTTTAATACTGATGAGAGTGGAAACAGTGGATGGATTCATGAGGAGGGTTTGGTGCATATTTTTATTTATAATGGGATGTCTACATGACTGTATGTCACATGTATTTTTTAACACCTGTTCTCCACTTACTTGATGAAATTATTTAGAGATAACACACTTTTTCACCTTCACATGGGGTGGCAGTTACACCAAGAGAGAGTTATACATTGTGTTACTTATCCTAAATTAATTTAACCAGTAATTACCTTTAGTAAATCCTGCCTGGCGGCTTCATCTTCATTAATCTTTGTTCAATATATTCACCATACCTCCTCTGCACATGTCCAGACCATCTCAGCCTCGCCTCTCTAACTTTGTCTTCAAGAATTTGAAGCAATCTAAACTTTTTTGTTCGTTTTCTTTACAGACAGAGCAGCGTGTGTTTGTTTGCTTTGTTCAGATTCATTACTGCAATTACTTTGAAGTTGAAAAATTAAGCCTTTAAGCATCATTTGTGCTTTCTGACTGGGTCCCAATGAGGATATCAAGCCTCATCTCTGAATCTCCTAATTAACACACCCCATATTATGACTAAAAATTAATAACAAAACTAATAAAAACTTTAACTGGAAGGAGTAAACACAGCCTGGAAATAAACTAAATTGAAACACTCAACAGCACTGTCAGAAACAGTGAGCAGATCACAGGAGACAGAAAACGATCTGCCTGACTGAAGTATTTCTGTGTTCTCAGAGAATGATCGACCTCTGTATGCAGAGCTCTGCCTTCAAGCTCAAACTATGGATTAGGTGGAATCATTACAAATGCTCAATAGCTCCTATTGCAATCAAACTATTACAGTCTGATTATGTTTTTATGTTTGTTTTTTATTTCTTATGTGTATTTGCTTTGGTGTAATGCTGCAGCCTAACTGCCAAGTCTGAGCTCAAATATTACACTAAATCGTCTTCACTGTAGTTTTTTTCCCTTGCCTTCTCAGATGCTTCATTTTAACATTTTTAGACGCCTAAGATGTGAAACCATTATGTATTTCACAAAAGTATCTTATTTTCTGTAAAAACAAGAACATTAATTAGTTTTAAATACTGAGGTCCTTCACTGATCCCCTCTCGACTGTTTGGTTTCAACACTTTAATTTATTTTATATAATTAAAGGAAGCCAGTCACTCTGTAATTATACGTTTTCAACAGGCTGTGTAGCAAAATCATGGCCCAGTCATTTACAAATGTGTTAAGAGGTGTGATCAGTATTTCCTCCAGTTAAATGTGGCTCAGACCAAAGAACGCTTATTGATTTTTGGAGGAGGCCAAGTCCCCCTGTTCCTGCACCATTTCTCAATAAAGGTGACCCATTGGGAGAAGTGCAGCCATAAAAATACCTGGAAGAGAAATTAAATGCTGTTTCAAATACAGATGCATTGTTCAGAAAGGGCAATCGTGGCTGTTTTTTAAAGTATCTTGGAAATGCTTTATTCACTTTCTTACTGAGTCTGTGCTTTTATTTTCTGTGACTTGCTTATTTGGCAAAGCCTTAATCTTTAAAACCGGTGAAAAGTAGAGAAAACGGTTAAGTTGTCCTGTAAGATTACCGGGCACCACCTTTAGTGAATTTCAGTATCTGTGTGAAATCAAGAGTCCTCTCAAAGGGACAGACTGTCGTTTTAGAATCTCAGCATCCTTTACATATTAACAACCACACGTTTCTATCAGAGAGAAGGTTAAGTCGCCCCACAGTTAGCACTAATAGACTCAGGCAGTCATTTGTTCCATCTCCTGCTGTATGTTTTAAATAACTTTTAACTTTTAACCATTTCCCTCAGTTCACTGTAGGATTTTGCATTCTATGTCTGTACTGAGTTGGATCACTGTCTGCAAAACAAAGTGTCACATGGTGATGTTGAAGCTTTATTACATGTTATTACTATTTTTGGACTGCTTTATTATTCTGAACCACCCCTTAAAATATGCTGTGATACTTGAGGTGGATGACCTTCAGGCTGGGCACCTCTGCTTTGACTGTGTTAGCCGCCAACTCCAGGTAATCACACACTCTTTATATAAAAACGCATCTATTAATAGGATCGTTGTGACCCAGACTCTCACATGTGTTTAGCGTTACCCCTACCTGTGTATCCGTCCAACCACAGCTGGTAAACCTCCTCATCCATGATGGTGGTGTTACCCACGAACACATCCAGCTCTACAGACATCTGCTTAAAACAAACAAGAAAAACATGTTTATTGTTTAGCTCAGGTATCACCGACATATAGCTGATTAGCTCGGGTGATATTATACCTTGTTCTCAGTGTTCTCTCAGGTAGCTGGCGGCGATAAAATCGTGTCTGCAAAGTGAACTATTTAATTCTATTAGCTGGGCTTAAATTTGCTCTCCATAGCTTACTGATTAGCTAACTTCCTCCATAAAATGTTAGCCTCCGGAGCTAGCCAAGCAGCACAGTTATCGACGGCCAATAAACGGGCAGCACTGCGGCGAATTAAGACCACGTTAATGTGACGATATGACACAATTATTAAGCAGCTTTTGAATTTACAGCAACAACGTCTATGAAATATTACAGCCTGTGAGAGACACGAGTGCGTAATGTCAACAACAGCAGTCACGTAGCAGATACTTCCGGTTCTATGATGTCACAGGAAAAGCTCCCGAATTAAAAATATGTTTCTGTTTTTTGGTTAATTTAAGTTCATTTAAGTTTATTTTAATTTAATTGCAATTTTAATTTCTTTCCCATTTTTCTATTAATCAGTATTTCGGTCGCATCTTTTTTTGTATCGTGTGAAATTCCTTTGATCGTTTATGTCCGCTATGTTCATTACCTTCCTTGCAATAAAGCTATTGTTTTTGATACCTATTATGTCATCGTCTTATCACAAAACTCAGGCACTGAAAACATTCAATGTACACGTGACTGCTTTTTATATTAAATAAATAAATAAATAAATAAATAAATAAATAAATAAATAAATGTGTTTATTATAGTGTATATATATATAGTATATATATATTCATATTAATACAGAAACATACTTCTTTCCAACTCATTCACACCTCTATCAACACACTCAAGGCAAATAATAATAATAATAATAATAATAATAATAATAATAATAATAATAATAATAATAATAATAATAATAATAATAATAATACCCCTGCTCCCCCGGAAGATCATACAGTGGCCACAAATGACTGAAAGAGAATACTTTTGCTGCACATATTGAAGGATATCTCCTTTCTCAGGAGCCCGGCACGCCTTTTTGTTTACAGCCTCTGTGTTGGTCTTCCAGTTCAGCCTGTTGTAGACGTGGACACCCAGGTACTGGTACTCTTCCACCACATAAACACCCCGTCACAGGATAGAAACGGGTCGTATAACAGACGTCCTCTTCCTTGTGAAGTCCATCACCAACTCTGGATTATGGTGATTCTATTTTATTTATTTATTTATGCAGGATTTTGCTATATCTACATATAGCACAGCCCTTCCCGTGTTTTCTTTTTCTTTTTCAATTATCATCAGTTTTCTCGGTGTGTGGGGGGGAGGGGGGGGTCTTGCTCTTTTTCCCATTAACAGTTACTGCAGACGTCTCACATGACTGTGGGCAGCATGTGACACAACTATGAGACGCCCCTGAGGATTACCAATATGAATAACACACCATTCATCTGTAGTTTTTTAGGAGCTGATTATGTGCTTTTAAGGTGTGGCTCTGAGAAGTGAATACGTAATAATAGGTAATGTTAGTGCAGACAAAACGGTAACTTCTGTGATATTAGAGTGCTTAGATACATAGAAAATCATTATCATTGAAAGCTTGACAAATGGCCTTCAGGATCAGCAGTTTTCTTTTATTTCTTCAATGTTTGGCCTCTCTTCTAAGCCAACGCCTACTTTGATTGACCATCCAAGGGGTGGATTAGAGGTGAATTACCCTACAGTAACTCAACAGGTAACATTCATATAAAGAAAGAAAGACTTCAGTGACCAGAAAAGAAAATCCGAAAGATAATGAACGATTATGTGAAGACTCAAATTACAGCACTGCGCCTGGCAGCCACACAGTACCCTATTGTTGATCATTTGTTCCCTAAGTTATTATAAAATGTGTCAGATCACAGATAGGCTTCTTTGTGAGCACCGGGCCCCACAGTGCTGTGCGCTTTGCTTGCTGCCTGCGTTTACACAATCTGCTCTTTTCCTCTGACGATTAATCTAAATAAATCCCCGTAAATCCCTCTCCTCGCCCTCCCTTTCTGTGTTTCTGCATGTGTCCTTCAAAAAAGAAAAATCACAACACGGGAGGGTGAAAACGAATCAGCCAAACACGCCTTTTTTGTCGACTCTCCTGCTGCGCATCAACACTCTCATTTCTAACCTCACATGACACCCTGATTCCATCCCCAGATCCCCCTTGCGCGGTTAACACCCTACATTGTTGTGGCCTCAGTGAAACAATGGAGGTGGGACAGAGGGCGGAAGGATGTGGCTGAATGCCTCAGCATAAACCCATGGAAAAAAAGGGTCTGCAGTCACACTTTCCGCCAATGTTCTTTGAAAAGTAACAAGTACAACCAGGAGTCACTCATGCACTCCACTGTCATAGACATGTATCTGGTTTTTGAGGATGAGATCATTCTAATGAACAGGAAAAACCGAAGGAAGTGGGTTTACACAGGCTTTTCCTATCAATTTCCTTCATACATTTCCAACTTGTTTTGGTTTCATAGCATGAAAAGGATAAGAAAAAAGAAAAGAAAAATACAATAAAATAAAGAAATAAAAAAATGGGTTTGAATCCAAATGGGGGCGCACACGTTCCTCATTGAGGGAGCGCGTGGAGAGAGGATCTTCCATGTCAAATCTCGTTATTTAGAGTGGAATTAGATGAACCACAGAGCTTTAGATTATTAAATGTTGCCATTTACGGCTACAAAACAGGCTCAAATAACGCAATGTGGAATTGCCACACTGCGAACATCAGAGAAAACCACAAACAGTTCTGATTACTAGCTTATCTAAGGAAATTTGCCAAGTTACAAATCCTGATAAAGCAGTAAAGTTTCCTTTAAAACCTCTACAAAATAAAAGCATCTCTGCTGAGCATCGCGGCTTCACTAAAACGCGACCAAAACTAAAAGGCGTCACTCATTACAAATATATAATCTAGTTCAGCGGTGCTCTCAAAGCAACATTTGTGACAGTTCTTTTCTTAAAAACAACAATCTGAAGCTTTTATTTTGAAGGCTGCTTGTACTGGTCTCCGTCAGAGCTCCAGCTTCACACGCAGCTCGCTGCTTAGCGGAGTCACAGCCGTGAAAGTGGCGGAGGCGGACATTGTTGTGGTAACAGTCCATCTCCGGAGGATGAGCACAGATGATGATGTACATATTTTGAGCGGTGAGCTTTGTTTGTTATTTATTTTTTTTATCTAAACAATGAATCCTTTTTAAAGAAAAAGGGGGGTAAAGCTGCTGCGCCGTGCGGACTCCTGCAGCCACCGGAGTTCATTCAGCTGAGGCGAGACAAGCACAGCCCGATGAGACGATGCCAGCGGTGTAGAAATCACAACATCTGCAGGGTGTGCTTGGTCAAGCCTCCGTGGACTCACCGGGCCTTTGTCCAGAAAAGCCCACGGAGCGGCTGTTGCCTTCAAAAAAAACTGCGCGGGGAGGAGAAATAAGGGCTGCTGTGCTCCCGGAGGCCTTTGGAGAAAGCAGCCTGCTGCTGAGAGGATGACAGATTGACATTAATAGGGGCTTGCGGTGCGTTTTTCACACACGACCTCATTAAGGCGTTATCCACGGAGAACAGCACAAAAAGGGACTGAAGTCACAGCCTTGGAGATAAAGACAATCTAAATAAAGACACCACATGTTTCTGCCTTGATTTTACCTCCGGTGATCAAATACATTACATCTGGATTACAGCGGATGCATGTGTTGAGCATTAAATATAGCCACATCTCAGCGCTTTTAATAGATTCTCAGGTACCCAGAGGTGTCGTTTTTTACTGAAAGAAGAAAAAATGGGTAGCGAAGGTGAGATAATAAACAGAGAACTGTCAAAGATGTCTGACGAGGACTTGCTGGCGTGCTCCAAAGAGGAGCTGGTGAGCCGGTTGCGTAAAGAGGAGTCAGAGAAAATATCGGCTCTGATCCAGCGCGGTCGGCTTATCAAAGAGGTAAATAAACAGCTGCAGGGACACCTCCTCGAAATCAGGGAACTGAAAGTCATCAATCAGCGCCTGCAGGAGGAGAACACGGAGCTGCGGGACCTGTGCTGCTTCCTAGACGACGACCGGCTCAAAGTGAAGAAGCTGGCCCGGGAATGGCAGCTGTTCGGGCATCACGCAGCCAAAGTGATGCGGGAGGACCTGGGCGGGTACTTGAAAAAGCTCGCTGACCTGGAGCGCATGCAGGACGGGCTGGTGAAGGAGAATCTGGACCTGAAGGAGCTGTGCCTGGTCCTGGAAGAGGAGTGTGTGAGCAGGAGTGACTCCAGTCCAGGAGGTTCCACCGAGCTGAATCTGCCCTGCATGGTGGCCCGGGACCTGGGAGATGGGAGCTCAAGCACAGGCAGCGTGGGAAGCCCAGACCAGCTTCACCTGGTGTGCTCACCTGATGACTGATGGCAGGTGTGTGTCAGCAGCTGAGGACTGGAGGGAGACAAAGGTGCTCTGTCAGATAGTACAAATTAATCTGGAGGATTAAAAAAAAAAAAAGCATTAGGGCTTTCTGAATGCTGCAAAGATTTGTGTGCCACTAGACTTGAGACTCTTTCCACATTTCAGGACTTTACAAAGACATTTATTAGATGTTTGCCAGATGATAACATGTCTAAATTTTACAGTGTTTTTTCTAAAGATTCTCCTGAAAATTCTCCTTTTTCAGTGGTCTGTTGTTGAGAAAAAAATGGGACCAAAAAAGTGGGTCACATATATAAATTTATCTCATGCACTGGATTAGCCTACACTGGTAGAAGCCTTTTTCTCAATTGCACTGGACAGCGTTATCTTGGATCTTGAAAACACAGATCTAAAGATTCATTTCAATCCAGTTTCGAGCCATATTTAGTCCTCTGAATTCCAATAGCACTGAAACAAAGGAAACTATTTGATAATTGCTTTTTTTGCTAATGATGTGTAATATTTTATGCACTCTCGCTTCCTCAGGACAGGATTGGAGTGCCATGTGTGCATGATGATTGTCACCATTTGTAACAAAGCCTGTGAAGCAGCCTGACGTGAAGGCCCTTTAGGTTTCCTGAGGGGTGGGGCTGCAGAGAATAATGTAACACGTGCAGACCTACACACTCACTTTGGATCAGGCATGGTAGATGTTGTTGGACCTCACGCAGAGCTGAACTGAAAAATAAGTTCTGTCACTATTTTTAAAATTCAACTGGAAAACTCTTTGTATCAAACTGGAAGGTCTACAAGTTTTGGTTGATTTTTATTCTGTTTAAGCCGAGCTGTTTAAATTCTTTTTTTTCTTCTTGTCTTTGTTTTTTTTAAATGAAGTTGTTGCTGAATTATCATAAGATTTGTTAGCTTCTTCTTCTGTAACTCATGCTTTGTATTTAATCTGTAACATTAGGAGCAAACTTAACTTCAGCCCTTCTTTAATCTTGATTTGTCTGTATTAACTAGCTTTACTAACCAGTTTCAGTTTAAACCATAGCACCTGGATTACAAGAGGTTTATTTTGTTGTTAGCTGTTTATTGGTGGGCTATGCTCGTAGTGCACTGAAAAGCTTTAAATACAGTGGCTATGACACTCGGGGCTGTTCTGACCTTTCTTTGTGTATTTGCCTTGCAGAAAACATGCATTTAACATGACACACACGACAAATTGATTTCTGCATTTGTTCTGACCTTCGTGTTTGAACCAACTGCGCTTGATTGATGCTGCCTTCATGCCACACTGACTGACGTTATGGATATTCATCAGTTTTATTTTTGGAGCCCTATTTGCACAGTCTGGAGAGCTGATGGGGGTGGAGGGGGGTGATGCTTTTACCCACTTAGTGATGCACAGACGTCCTTTGACAGCAGCGTACATACAGATTTTTTCTCCCTCGTGCTCTCCAGCTCTCAATCTGACTCTTGTTCCATCTCCGCCTCTCTGCCTCGCTCATCCCATTTTAGCAATTCAATGCTCTCTGAGCCGTGTATGTATTAGCAAGAGATTCACTTCATTTTAGGGTAACAGAGGCCACAGTGTTGAGAGTGGAGGGTCAGAGAGTGGCCAGCAGAGTTTGTCAGCGCATGGTGCAGTAATCAAACTCTCTTACTCGCTGCCATTAATGATTAATTCAGTATTTATTACTGTGTCAGGTATTTTCTCAATTAACTGATATGAAGTATGGCCTTAACACCCAGAGTCAAAGGGTAATGTCTTCAAAGTATTGGATTTTTTCTGATCAACAGTCTGAAGATGTTAAGATCAAAGACCACAGAAACCTGGAGAAGCTGCAGTCCAGGGGCGGAGCCAGGCAGGGGTCTGGGGTGGCACTGCCCCCAGAACCAATAATGAAGCTTATTGGGGGGTTCTTCGCACATAATCATAGGAGTTAAGAAGTAATCAGACACAGCTGGGTATAATCTTAACAATCAATTAATGTTTATCAACAGTTAAAAAATAATTAAATTAACAACCATTGCATATTTCTTTTTAAATGATTTAAAATGTGACTGTATACGAGTCTTCACAGTGTACATGTCTACATGTGTGAAAACCTATTTCTGCCACTTAAAAAATAATAAATAAATGAACAATTTTTTCATCTATAAGTAAAAATGCTGTGTTATTACCAAAAATTTTGAGTTGATATTTTGAGATAAACCAAAATTTTGTCTTCGGATGGCAGAAAAATGTTGATGGTGGAAAGAAGCAACTCAAAAATTTTAGTTTTGACCTAAAGACAACTTTCCATCAATTTGTGTTTCGTCCCAGTCTAAGTTAAAAAAAAAAGTGTATAAAAACTGTCTGACTCCACCACTGCTGCGCCTGGAGAATATTCAGCATTACTGCTCAATTAAAAAGAAATTACTAGAACATTAAACTTCAATCAGGCAACTGATCAATGAATCGAATCCTCGTTTCAGTCGCGTTGTCACGTCTCATTTACATTTCTGAATCTCTTTCACACATTTCGAATGATCCAGACAATCGACTCTGAGTAATCTGCTGTTTTTCAGATGATTTTCAGTCACAGTCTCTTGCTTATTTTGCCAATAACTGTACAGCATTTCTTTTTGCACACACCTTTGTTCTTTATTATCTGTTTTTTTTCAAACAAAGACAAATTTAAGGCACTGCCCTCCAAACAGTTCATTTTAACAGAAAACATAAACAGTACCAAAAAATATATTATATTCTCCATAATAAATATGTGATTATATCACTTATAATAACTCCTATGGCCCAGCCTTAGTGGTCAGTAATTTGTATAAAGATAATATTAGGGTTCTGAAAGGGTCCACGCATAAATATGGACCTGTTAGTTTAAGCACTCCGTTTCCCTTTTTGAGGACTTTCACAACACACTGTAACAATGTAGTAACTTATCAAAGGGAACATTATAATGTATTATATCTAATAATATATGATTAAATGGAGTTATCACAGTTATGTGTACAACGTTTGTGTAATTAGAGAATATAGTCTGCATGCAGTGCTTTCGCAATAAACCTCAAACACACTCATTCTTATTTTATAACTCTGAAAATTAGAAATATAAAGACTTTATATTCTTATAAAAACTAAAAAAAGTGTAACATTCGTCTTCTAATAATGCCACAGATTTGCATATTATCTAAGAAAAGCATCAACTTTCTGAAGAAATCGAGCAGCTGCACGTTGCTCGTTTCGAAATGATAAGAGCCGTCGTTTTCACTTCCATCACATTTCCTTGACATCCTGCACTGTGACTGCGCTGAAATCAAACTTAGTGTATTGCCAGGAAGGCAGGGCCGTCGATTACAGTGAGAGGATGGTTGGTGAGTGCAGGGAGTGATCCGACTGGTCACCGCTGCTGCTGCTGCGGCGATGCGCTATCCCACAGGGCTGTGGGGCCTGAGACTGCTGGACACTTCCCTGGTGTGATGTAACGTGGGATGTGCTGGAGGCACTGGTGTCTAAAGAGGCAGAGGGGTAGGTGAAAACTGTGCCAGCTGTGAAGGACATGATAGAGGGCGTGGAGAGAACTGGGGTGTGGAGTGACTCTGATTCAGTAGCAACAGCAGAGGCGGTTGATGTTACAGGCTTTGTGGGGATAGTTATCCTTGGTCTGGGCTTCTCCAGCTTTATGGGTGGTTTGATTGAGGGTCCAGGACTGCAGGAGTCCGCTGGCTCTAGTTTGATGGCTGCCAAAGAGGAAATGGATGGACCTGAGTCAGAATCCGAATCAGAGTCCTCTATTTTGCAAATGGGTCGGTGAGCTTCCAAGACCAGTTCAAGCTTCTCTTTCTCCTTTTGTAGTTCAGCTATTTCCTTCTGCAAGCGGGACTTTTCATCCTCCAGCATGTCTGTCTCCTACAGCAGGAGAAAGACAGAGTTTGATTCATTCATGCCTGACTGAGACCAACACCTTACATATTAACATATTACATATAATATTATATTAAAGATCACTCACAGTTTGCAGGGAATCTGTCAGCTCCCGTCTCCGATTGCGACACTTTGCTGCTGCCAGTTTATTCCTCTCCCTTCTTACTCTGCGCCTTTCGACTTCTTCCTGAGATAACTGAAGAGGAGAAGAAAAATTACTACAAAACATGAAGGCGGCCTAAACTCCTGAACTGGATTAATCCGGCTTGTTTTAGGCAAACAGCTAATTTCAAAACATCACATGCACAGTGAAATTCCACCACAGGCAGCATGACACAGGTGAAATACTCCCACCATGTGTGCACACTGACTCATCACAGCCATGGCAGCTGCAGGGTTGAAAAGCGTCTGGGCTTTTGTGCCTTTGTAACACCCGAATTCTGACTTCATCCAACATTCTACTGAATAATTGCAGTTAATCCAACATTTCCCGCCCTTTCGGGGTGATGAGTCACGCTCAGACCCCTAAAGTGACTCAGGTGTGAGTCACAGAACATGACTTGCCCCTATGAGTCACATGACAGTCCACTTCCTGTTCAATGAATTTACAACTTTATGACGAGGATGTGTGCCAACGCGTGCCTGGGGAAACGTACAGAATTATACTGTGTGTTGGAAGTCAAATGTAAAGTTACTTTGAATGGAGTGATGTTTCTATAGTAAAAAAAAACTGATAATCACCTGTTAATTTTACTGTCAACAAAAACTCAGTAAAAAAACAAAGGAGAATACAACAGTGTGTGTTTAACTCCAGAGCTGAGAAAAAGATTTAAAAAACATATCTTTAGATTTTCTTCCTATTTCTCCATACATCTAGAGGAAGTGGCACTATTGTGTCACAGAGAATTACAGGACATTACGCACTGGTTACACAAAAGTGATTGAGCCACACTCCACACCTCAGCATCCACACCACATTCCCTCGAGGGAGAATGCAACTTCCAAGAGGGCTCATTCACTTGTTTCTTAGTGGAAAAACAAAAAACCCACAATCATTTGTGAGCTATGTGCTTACATGTTCATCATTCCTGCGCCTTGTTGAAGATGGGCTGTTTGCAGAAGTTCTTATGACCCCTGTCCTGAGAAGGTGAGACTGGGAAGGTGGTGGAACCAGTGGCCTCGCCCCTGGGTGGACTGGGTAAGGAGGTACTGGTGATCGCGAAGGGCCTGGTGGATGCATGAGCGAGGGCTGGACCAGCCACTGGAGGTCCTGGTTGCTTGTGATGGCATTGAGGCTGGGGATAAACTGACTGGCCCCTGCCATTGTAAACTTCTAGGGAAAAAAGAAAAATAAACAGTTTGAAAGAAGAAGATTTTATATAATGAAATATTGACCATAAGTAACAAGTGCAGGATTAAAAGTGTAAACTAATATTATTGCGTAACTATTATATAACCATTATTATAAATATTATTATTTTTTATCTATTACTTGTACAACTAAACTAAATTACAGTGTGATGATTTAACAGCTTTAAATTTGTATTCCTTAATGTTAGCTAGAACATTTTTAGTTATTTCTCAAAACTTTAACCGTATTGCTCTTATTTGACCCCTAACCTTTTACCCAGTTCAGTCAGTGACAGCACACCTACCTGCTCCTGATGTGTGGCTGAAGTGCTGGTGTTTCCAAGGGAAGCAGGGTTTGTCCCAGAGGTGCCTGTGTACGGTGGGTTGCCTCTTTCTTGACTCCCAAAGTTTCGATACATCCTCTCTTTCTCAGTGAAAAGAAAACTGAATCCAGCTGTGGCTATATAGTCTTCCGTTCTCACGAAACTAAGTGGTTGAGTCTTGTGTTTTAATTCAAATAGGGGGCAAGCCCACCGACTTGCGTATTCGGTAGAGTCCAAAGAAGTCTTCAAGGGGGAGCGAGGAAAGAAATATCTCCTTGTTTTTTCCCCAGTCGTCCAAAAACCTTCGAAAACAACTTTCAGCGCTCACGGTAGTCCTCAGTCGTACATCCAGGATCGGAAGTCTGGGAATGATCGTGAGGTTGTAAACTCTTTAAGCAGCAGTATATGCGCACCACGCCCCTCTGTACTTACGGGAAATAGTGTTGTCTGGAACCTCTCACGAAATTCTCCACGTGTCGTGACGTCATTTACCATATTTGGTGAGAGTTTCCTCCAGAGACTAGTACAGGGATTCCTCTCAAAGACAGCCCACACCTCGTGCTCTGAAACTGGCGCTGTAGTGATTTCTCTTATCTGGAGGAGGCTTAAAGCACTGGGTACACTTTATAACTGAAAGCCAAAGCACGGAGACTCTTTGTTTATATTGCAGTGAAATTGGTACATGTTATCAGTACAAGGGTAACCAGTTAAGGGTTGAAGTTTGAAAAAAAAAAACACACACACACACACACACGCAAACAGATTGCTCAGTGAGAAACCCTGAGCAATCTGTTTTTTCACACTTAAAAAAAACACTGATCTATTTTTATTGATGTGCACCTCTATTTCCAGGGATTATGGAAAGTTTAAGACATTTCTGTTTAGAAACAAACATGAAACAGTGACTAAAAGTATCAGTGTGACATAACTCCCCGCCTTATCTCCATTAGAGATAGGCTAAGGAGCAGGTGGTTCTTGTATACCTCTTGGTAATTTTCTTGGGCTAGGAAATCATGTCTTGTTCCATGTTCCCATGGGCTTGGGAACACCTCACTGTTCCCCCAGAAGAGCTAGAGGTGGCTGTGGAGAGGTCTAGGCATCTCTGCTTAGACTGCTGACCCAGTGACATGGACAACCAGGAGAACACTAATGGATAGGTGGATTAAATCAGTCCAGCCTGCTGCTACTGATAATGGTGTAATGATGTGGGTGATATTTTCTAACTGAACATCATATAAACACCACAGTATAGTAGTGAGTGTTGTTGCTGACCAAGTCCATCCCATCCCTGACCAGCGTACTCATCTTCTGATGGCTTCTTCAAGCAGAATAATGCACCTCGTCACAAAGCTCAAATCACCACAAACTATTCTTCTGAACATGAGTTCACTGTATTCAAATGGTTTCCCCAGTCAGCAGATCTGAATCCAATAGAGCACCTTTGGGATGTGGTGGAACAGGAGATTAATAAAACTGTTTTATCATTAAACTCAATGTAAATTAATACTTGCACTTTATTTTTTCTGTAATGATCTCTCAGATTCCTTTTGTTTAAGATAATTTAACTTGATTTTACACTTTTTTGGTTGATGTTTTTTTTTTGTTTTTATATGTTATGTACTACTCTATTTCCACTTGTATAAACTGAGTTCTTACACCTCATGGGGATTCAAACAGCACATTTTTCAGCTGAAATCCTTGAATATCCTTGAAGATAGATTAGACAAGTTTCTAGAAGTTATTTGAACATAATTTAAGCATATTCAGTAACAGTTTAAGGATGCTACCTAAAAAAAAATAACCCTAACAACAACAAAACAAAAACTCTATGACAAAAACCTTTACACAATAGGGGTAAACCCTACTGCTGTCATCTTAATAACACACAACTGTAAGCTATAAATTTTCTGATAAGTGAAACACAGTTTTATATCTTATATATAAATATATTTGAAATGTGTCATGTATCCTATGGGGTTAGTTGGCGGCACTTTTTTGGCTGCCACTCTCACTTTTCTAACCACATCAGTGTGCATGCATGCTTGTGGATATGAGTCAGTCAAACGGCAAAAAACTGCTTGCTTACTTACTTCACCACACATTTGAACTTCTGTTTTTTACTTAAAAGGATAATATAGTCGGAAACAGCTTAACAGACTGGCATAGAGGGCCTGGACAGTCTCCTAGATGCCTTAGAGGAGGTGGGTAAGAGGAGGACGTTAGCCAAGTTACCCTCCCCCTGCATCGCATGGCACTGTGGATGCCCTGAGCAGCTCCTTTAGCAGCAGACTGTTACAGCCCCCACTTTATGCACAAATTTGAAAAAAAATAATTCACTTTCAATTAATTTACTTTTTCTACCTGGCCCTTGTACTGCTGTCACAAATTAACTTCTCCAGTGTGCGATCAAATAAAGTCTATGTCTAAGAAATACATGGTGTAGAGCTGGTAAACGTAGCATGTCCCAGCAGCTGCTGACCTTGCAGTCCCTGGGGACAGAGTTCCCGGCTGCTGACTGTTGCATCAGTTTCTCATATTACCAGTGCTTGCTCCAGGATCAGTATTTTTCGAGGTTAATTACAAAGACAGATAGCTGTCTACTTGAAAAGGTGTGTTTTGGGGAGAAAAAAGAAAAAGTATGCGTGTGTTTCTGTGGCCAAGAGATGAGAGTGAGAGAAAGACACTGAACATTGAAGTTTGGATTCAAATTTCATTTTACCAACAGTCTGTGAACAAAAGCAGAAACAGCCCCGGGGCAAGACATTTTACAGATTCAATACCTGTTGCTCAATGACACATTTCAATGAGCGTAATGTTTCAGATTTTTGAAACTACACCTTGTAATAATAAAGACAGAAATCACTGTTTATGGTGTCATATGGGACAGTAGGATAAACGTGAGCGTCATGACTAAAGCTTCAGGAATGCAGTCATGACACACCTGCAGTAACTCTGCTGGGACATGCCACAACTTGTCTGAACTTCTTTTTTCTGGCTGATTACACCTTCATTCATCAGCTGGAAGTTGTTTGTTTTGTTTGTTTGTTTTTTGTTATTTGATCAAGACAAGTCTGGTTTATTTATGAAATAGATAAACATCAGTGTAAAGAATGGAAGTAGTGCTTTAATGTAACATTTTTTATTCTTAGTGTGAGTGAAGCCTGTTGGTTTCAGTTTTACTCAACTTTTCCCCTCTAAAAGTTAGGGGCAAGACGGGAGAGGGGGGAAGTGTAGATTCCATTTCAATTTACTCATCCTGAAAAAAAACAATATCCACACCCACCCACCCACACACACATCCCACACACACATCCCACATACGTGCTTCACAAAGTATAACGCTACTGTCATGCAACTTCAATTTATTTGATTCAAAAGGTGGTGCATTTCACACCCATTTAATTTATGATCACGCAGTATGAAGCAGATTATCTTACAGTAATCGTGCCATGCGTGTGCCAGGACAGTATTGACAGTGCCAGCCACTGTCTCAGGTCTCAAATAAAGATGTGAGTGGATATAAATATAACACTAATGCAAATTTCTTGCTGTGAAAATAGTTAGGAATATTCTTTTTTTCTGTGTTGTAAGCCTAAAATTTTAAATAGAAAATCAAAAGATTAATATTTAAAGTACAAAGTAAGTGGTAAGAAAGCTGATAAGCGGTATGAAATGGATGGCTATGTAGCAAATTTAATTAACTATTAAAAGATTAAGGACTACTGGCAAAAAAAAAAAATCTGTTAGTGAAAATAAAAGTATGTTGGTGCAGCTGATCCAAGTGGAAAAATATCTAACTCCTTAACCCGGTTATGCTGCCCTGGAACAGAAGGAGGGCTTTTGTACTTTTGTTTTTATGTCCTTAGGAATGGATTACATGACAGAAGAGTTCCTGTCATGTAACTGAGATTAGATGAAGACATTTCATTCTGTTCATTTTCCATTTTCTATGACTCAACAGCTTATTAGAAATTCATGATACACTTAAACCTTTCTGCACAAAAAGTAAGACAAACAATTTGGAGTTTATTTGTTGTTTTTTTAAGCCAATTAGGAGATCAAACCCATTTAGGATCAAATTAGGCTATATGCTGCCCAGGAACTAAGTAGTTTGATGCGCCTAGTTTTGGGTGAAGGGTATCACACCTCTGGCCTGCCAAGGGATCTAAAGTAGGCCACTTAGTGTTTTCAGAAAATGAGAAAACTGCAGATGAGGAAGGCTTAAAATTTGGGACTTTACATTGTATTTTGTCCTTAAGCAAATGGTTCAAATAATTCATGTTCAAACCTCTCGATGATGAATGATTTGGAGTTATTTTTGAAAAAGAAAAGGGGTTATTAAGTGATAGTTTTAGTGATGCAGCCCACTTAGGATCAAAGTGGGTTGTAAAAAAGGAGCAAGGCTAACAGAAAAAGTAACGCACATATTTTGTTAGCAGCAGCTGTTAGACTAAAAGTTAAAAACAAATAACTTTGAAGAATCTAAAATACAATGAATCACAGTTTTCTTAATATCAGCCCAAGCGCAATTTGAAAAACCCCAACAAATGTTTGGCTTGCATTTAATGAGATCATCTTAATAAGTGAGTAACTAATAGCCATGAAGCAATGACTCAATTTATAGCAGTGATGCTATTGAAACTGCTCCAAAAATTCCCAACAACCAAACAACCACATCTGACACATCAGAAATGAAGTATAACAAATACCTGTACATACATTTTAGTCATAGTAGTCAGTGGCTTCTTCAGTGAATATACCAGGCTTGGTAACATTCTGAATTAAAATAATTGTTTATAACAAATATGTCTTGGAAAGGCGGCTCTGGGGTACATTAAACACATTATATAGGCTAGTGTTTATTTATTTATTTAAAAAATATTTCAGGCTATTTGCATTTAATATCTCCATGAATTGGGATTTGATAGTTTTACCTATTTTGCATATCTCTTACTGAAGCGTAGATGAAACAAATACAACCAACATTTTCTAAACACATAAAAATACCTGGCCTAATAAACCCTGATGAATTAGGTTAACCCTTTACTTGGTTTATTTATGCTGAATTGTGTTTATTACACTATTTCAACAGATAGCAGGACAAAAGTGAATACATCTTCAAATGAATACAAATGTGTAGGTGGCTGGCAATCCATTAAGTCATTAGTATCACATATTTTGATGGAAAGATTTTATTTGGCTTTCAGAGGAAAAGTGATGAGATTAAATGCAAATAGAAAGTGGGTGATACAGTTTCTCCCTTAGTTACCCAGTCTCTTTCGTTCATCCTGTACCAGCATGTGTAGTTTTGAGTGTGGTTTTCTTTGCATTTCCATCATGCAAAGGTCTTAAGTCACCCCTTATTTTATCATATTTTGTTAGGAAAGTATAAAATAGGTGCAGCGATTTATTTTCAACAC